AACCCTTAATTAGATAATGACTAAAGTTATACGTGTGACTAGTTGTACTTTCGTTGATATACATTGTATATAAAAAAACTTGTAATCATACATTAATAATAAATACGACATACAGGCAAGATCGCCCTTTAAAAAAAAAAATAAAAATAAAGAAGGGCAACTGAACCTTCAGAGAGAATTTGATACTATTACTTATAATAATGAAGAACATGTATGATCTTCTTATGAAAATGATAGTAACTTAGTAAAAACATTGCAGAAAACAATAGCTTTGAGAAAAAAAATGGAACAGACAAATACAAATTTAGATTCTGAAGAAAACCATTACTCAAAACTTTGTGCTTGTACATCTAATGAAAAAAAACCAACTATTCTGCAGTCAAAAATTCATAAGATTTCAGCTAATCTAAACAATGAACAAAAAAAAAACTTTCATGCTTATCTGTAATCACCATGAACAAAACTACCCCGGTAATCCTAATAACCCATCTCAATTATTAATATATTTAGGTGGTGCCGGAGGCACAGGAAAATCAAAAGTTATCAAAGCTATTAAAGAATACTTCGATCTAGTAGATCAAAATCATCCTCTTGCCATTTGTGCACCAACTGGCCGTCATCTAAATTTAATAATCTTCAATAATACGAACACTAACGTCGTTAAATTTAAATAAACTTACATTTAATCTCGGTTTACCGTTATACATTCCAGGCACAACTTTTCCACAAACGCTATAATATTCACTTTTTACAAAGACTGATTGAACGTTAGGATCCCTCTCATATTCATTAACTGGAACAAAAAGAGTAACTTCCATTTCACGGTCTTCACTCTCAACTGGATAAACAGCCAACGCCCATACAACAATAAAATTCGATTCGTCTTTACCAGTTTCTCGAGCCTGAATAATTTTTACGATTGTATCAATACTACACAGCATTATAAATCACTAAAAAAAACTGTCCATAGTCAAACCCTTTATATTCACTTTGATATCATTACAATTAAATTTTCCCAAAAACATCTGTACAAACATTAAGTCAAAATGATCTAACAAACACCTAATTTTCCCACATAAAACTTTTACACGCTCATTAACTACTAATACAAATACGGCAAAAAAAATTCACACGGCAAATATGTAATAAATCAGGCCAATTTACACGTTTTAGCGTCATTACGATTAAAATTTCCCAGGAACTTCTCATACATGCGTTAAGTCAAAATGATCTGATAAAAAAGATAAAAAAACACAAATCTAACACCAAATTGTTTTTATACAAAAATCGTGTTTTTTATCTTTTTTATTAGATCATTTTGACTTAACGCATGTATGAGAAGTTCCTGGGAAATTTTAATCGTAATGACACTAAAACGTGTAAATTGGCCTGATTTATTACATATTCGCTTCGTTAATTTTTCTTTTTTTGTCATGTTAATATTAGTATTTATTAACTATTAATAAGTATGTATAGACACAAGAACCTTCATCTGAATTAACACTCGTTCAAATTATTTGAACATTAACATCAGTTAAAACCGGTTTTTACAGTAAATTTTTTAAACAGATCACGTCTCAAGTTAATAATAGACCCATCAAATATCCAAACGAATAACATCTCGTGTATTTAAACACGTAAAAACATTACGCATAGAAAAATTGAAATTCAGTACCTATTACATAAGATCACTTTAATACATTTATACATAATACTATTTACACGCTCATTAGCAATTAACAAATACTAACAAATATATAAAATTAAAATAAAAAAATTTTCATCGAATTTGATTACGTAATTATCGAAAAAACTTCACTCAAAAATCTTTAAACAATCAAAATATACACGATATTAATCTAATTACACATGTATACATTCATATAAATCGGTGTTTTGAATTAACCTGATTTTCAAACACAAATAGTTTACCCAAAGAAATTTTAAGTTTACCCTATGAATCCAGAACCCTCAAACCCAACTTCGACATATTTGATCTGCGACTTTTCACACAAAACACTATTATATATATCTCGTATCACTTTTCATATTATTAATAAATTAACGTTTTTAATGATTAATATGAACTAAAAATAACAAAACATATACACTATATAACTAATATACCGAATTTCGTGAACGCTGATCGTACTGGTCCTGCGCCGCGTCACGCGCTGCGCGGCTACCTTATATAATAATACCAAACAAAAAGGAAATAAATGGAAATTTACGCATAACAACGAACATATACCGATACGGATAAATATAGCACACGTGATTAATAATTGAACCAGTATGTACGTACTAACTTGATTAGTTAGGTTAGATCAGATTTTTATGGGTCGATTCCAAAAATATTAGTAAATTTATGCTTTTTGGTCGTTACTTGAATACTAGCATTTCAAATGAAATGAAATTAATATCATTCGATTCGTCTCAGTAAGAAGAATCGAATGATACCAAAATTACTCGATTCTGATCAATGTATCACGAGATGTCATCAAAAAACATGAGTGCGTCACAATACCCACCTGCGTCATAATACCCCCTTCTCCCTTAATAAAGTTATTCTAATTATCATGCAAGTATTTTTTATTTTGATTATTAACACTCAACATTGATAATACATGCAGAGTACAAAGTGCATAGGGCACTAATTAGAATTATCCAATTATTATTTATTTACAATAATTTATTATAATAGTCCTTTGATAATTATCTTTTATTTACAATTACATCTTTTTTAACAGTCATAATTAAACGTTTAAATTGTTCATTGATTTCATTTTTTAATTACAGTACCGAATTTAATATAGGTCGGCGATTCTGTTTCCCATTTTATTTGCGTATATTAATATAAGAATTAACCCTTCATGATGCTGTTTTCCCATTTACTCGCGTATATCAGTTCAAGCATCAACCATTAATAATAATTTAAATTCGGATGGGTCATTAAGTAACCTGTGTAGAATTCTGAGAGGCTGCGCAATAAATTTTTATAATTTAGATCAATATTCTTAGTAATCTATGTGACAACACCAAGGAAATACATCATCTAATGCTTTTTTTACTTTTGATCCAAGATCGTTACGACTAATATCTAAAAAGGTTAGCGTAGTGTTCGTGTAAAGCGCATTAACTAATGCTTTTCCACCTTTTGGTCCAAGATAATTATCACTAAGGTTCAGTGAAGTCAATGTGGTATTCTTGCGAAGTGCATCAGCTAATGCTTTTCCTCCTTTAGATCCAAGATTATTACGTTCAAGATTCAAGTAAGTTAATGTGGTATTCTTGCAAAGTGCAACGGTTAATACTTTTCTTTCTTTTGATCCAAGTTTATTCCAGCTAATATCCAAAGAAGTTAGTGTAGCGTTTTTGCAAAGTGCTTCTGCTAATGCTTTTCCCCCTTCTGATCCAAGGCCATTGCGAAAAAGATTCAAAGAAGTTAGTGTGGCGTTTTTACAAAGTGCATCAGCTAATGCTTTTCCTCCTTCTGGACCAAGATTATTTTCTTGAAGGTTCAAAGAAATCAATGTGGTATTTTTACAAAGTGCATCAGCTAATGCTTTTCCTCCCTCTGGCCCAAGATTATTTTCTTGAAGATTCAAAGAAGTCAACGTGGCGTTCTCACATAATGCATTAGCCAATGCTATTCCTCCTTCTGACCCAAGATTATTATCCCAAAGATGCAAAACTTCCAGGGTATTGTTCTTGCAAATTGCATCGGCTAACACTTTTCCTCCTTCTGATTCAAGATTGTTCCTGTTAAGATTTAAAGTAGTCAACGTAGTGTTCTTGAAAAGTGCAACTGCCAATGCTTTTATTCCTTCTAACCCAAATTTACAATATCCGAGATCCAAAGAAGTTAACGTAGTGTTCTTGCATAGATACTTTGCAAACATCTTTCCTTCTTCGGTGCCAATCCGGTTATCATAAAGACCTAAAGAAGTTAAGGAAGTGTTGTTATAAAGTGCATCCAGTAATGGTTTCATTCCTTTAGTACCAAGTCGAATAGACTTGAGATCCAAAGAAGTCAAATTAGAATTCCTATAAAGGATTTTTGCTAATTCATCTATTGCTCTATATTTAAAATCATAATAAGAATAAGTGAAATTAAAATCTAAAGAGGTAACAGTAGTATTCTCATAAAGATTTTCAAATACTAATTGATTGCAATTATATTGACTAAGATTTAAGTGTTTAAAATTTTTGCTAGTTCGTAGAATCATTGCAATTAAAGAACACCTAACGGTTTTTTCAAGTTCAAGTCCTCTGTTACATCTTTCATAACTAAGCCAATTACTGATACCAGTATACAAATAACTGTTAATAAATGTGATATATTTTGTATATTCAAATAATGGTTTTGGATAACTTGGAAGATTAATTTTGAAAGGAATTAATAGAGCTTGCTCTTTAGCATTTAAAGTTAAAAGTAATATTTTTATAAGTCTTATATCTCTAAAACCAATACTTGGATCGCTCCACAAAATTGGTATAATTATTCTACACCAATGACGATTTACAAGTGCACATGAAAATAGGTTTTTATAATTAAAATCATGTCGGAAGATGTTAAATATTTGATAGTAACATTCATTCGGTAATGTTATCATATTGAAAAATAACTAAAATTTTAATATCGTGCACGAAATACGTTTATTTATATCTCTGGTATCAAAGTATGGTGACTGGCATGCGATTGTGGCATGACATGCCAGTGGCGTGCCTGAATTTTAAAATTTACTGGACATGTTACTATTGGCTAAAATTTACTATAAATAATTTATTGCTCTTTGTGACGTATGTTGTTTTAAATTGTGTGAATTCTGAATATTATCATTATTCAAAACCATTATTTGTCGCATTATTTTGCAAGGAGCGATAGTTGCATAAAACCAAAAATATATTATCATGTTATGACATGCCAGGTGGCATGTCAAATTTTTGGCTGTGTCAGTCACCTCATGTCAAAATAAGTTGTGATGCGTTGCCAAAATCCAAATTTGGAAAAAGTCGCTTACTATAATTCCGAATACGTACAGTACGTACATATGCATGTACACGCGCACTAAACTTACTACCGCTACGTATTATCGTACGAAAAAATACCCTGATCACTGTATCGAGATCACGGGTATTTAACAAAAATACCTTGATCCGTGTACAAGCGGAAACTTCTGTTTCTGTTAATAACCGGCTCAGGATAATTTTATTACTAATATATCCCTTTAGTAAAATACCCGTACTTCCTTTTTTACAATCTTGATTAAAAGGTCCCGATTATGATAGCATAAAGTCATTGTATATTATCTGGGCATTATAATCAGATAAATATATATGACATTGCACAAATATTTATTTTTTTTTATTTTTATTTTTATTTTTTTTTGCCGAAACCAAAATGCTGGGTATATTGATCTCTATTTGAAAAGAAATTATACATTTTTAATTTATGGTAGTAGTGATTGGACCCGTCCAACCCGGGTGACCCGTCGGGCTGATCCAGGTAGACTTATGAGTATTCCCAGCCAATCTCATAGGAGGACATTCGTCTGATTGGCTGATGTAAATCAATTGCCCGGGTAACTTATTTATACTTTTTGGGAACACAACGTTTCACT